GGGAGAAGGGGCAGCTCCTCTTCCTAGGGACATTTGTGCTTGGTCGTGGCTGAGCCTGTGGTGGGGCTGGGGGCTGTGGACAGAGGGGTCTGTCCGTGCATCTGTTCGTGTGGGAAGGGGCTGGTTGTGCACTGGTGGGTCTGGGAGCAGGTGGCCGCAGCCGAGCCCCGCAAGGACCTGATGTCCCTTTGGGCTGAGCTCAGAGGCTAAGGTGACTGCTCATCTCCACACTGCATTAGCTGCTGCTGGCTGAGCCCCAGCGTGCCAGGTCCGGTGCTGAGGAGTCCTGCATGGGAGGGGAGAGGGATGGGACAGCCAGCAGCTGGGGGCTTTGTGCCCGTCAGAAGCATCTGTGATGGGATGCATGCACAGGCCAGGGTCTGCGAGAGGGGTATGGGAGGGAGCAGTGCTGAGCCCACAGCAGCAGTGAGCAGCCGGGGCAGCGGGACCAGGGCTCACGGGCTTTGACCAGAGCAGAGGCACTGCAGGGGCTGGGCTGCTTGGGGCTGAAGTGCCATGGAGGGGGCACTGCTGGCATCCCTGGGGCAGCACAGCTGCTGTGGGAAAGGGACCGCTGGGTCTGCGGGATGTCTCCTGCCTGTCTTCTGCCCTGGTGGGTACAGATGTGGCAGCCTGGGAATGGCAGGAAGGGGAATATGATGTTACTGGGGCACATGCAGCATGATGTCATGGGTTGCTGTGATGTCACCATGTTGTCACTGCTCTGGGGTGCCTTTGGGGTGTGATGAGGTCCTTGCTGCATGATGTCATGCAATGTCATAGCGGCGCTGGAGGCGACTGCGGCCTGGGATGGGATGTTGCTGCAGTGGTGGAGCATGACATCACTGGGGTACGTGGTGTGGTGGGCAGCAATGTCACCGTAGCATGCAGGATGGGGTGGCTGCACAAAGAGCCAGCTCCCACCCTCCCCATGATGTGGGCCAAGGGCTGGGGATGTGTATGCAGGTACATGAGGAGCCCTGGGGACAGCATCTCCCCACCTGCGGTGCCCCAGACACCTCACAACCCCCTGCCTGTGCCACAGCTTCCCTCCCAGTCCCATCCCACCCTCCTTGTAGGGTATTGCCAGCCACAGCCGTGTGTGGGGACAGATGAACCCTACATGCTGCATCCCTGCCATGGGGCCAGCACCCTGTCCCTGTGCTGCCTGGCTGCACCCTGTGTGGGTGCCCATGGCACCCCTTGCCTTGTTCCCATCCTCCTGCTGCCTCTACCCCTGCCTGGCATCTTGGCTTCGTGTGACCAGGTTTAGCCATGCTGAGCAGGCACCCTGGGGTGACTGCAGCCCCTGGGGTGACCTTGCCACCAGATGTGACAACACAAGCCAGGACATGGCTCTGCTGGGGCAAGACAGGCTGAGCTCTGCCCTGCGTACAAGCAGGACCCCATAGCCTCAAATGTCAGGTGGAGCTTCATGCTGGGGCCTCGGTGCTATCAGCAGCATGCTGGGAACCATGAGGCCTTTCCCATCCACCATGCAGAGCCTGGGCATCCCTCCCTTCCCCCTTCCCAAAATGGCCTGGCTCTGGGCTGTGCATCCCCTCCCCATGGCACCAAGCACCGGATCTGCTGGGAAAAGCCTTTTGTCTCCAATCAGGAACATTGTTTCCTCCTGGAAAGGCTCCATCCAGCCTGGAGGGATTTCAGCTGCAGCTGGATGGGGCAGCGGGGTACCTGGGGAATGGGCCAAGCTGCAGGGAGCAGGAGCTGGAGGAGAGGCAGAGCAGGGAGAGCCCTGCCAGTGGCCTGGGGACAACCACCCATCGCCTGGCTGGGGGTGAGGGGGCACCACTCTGCATCAGCAGGGGGCTCGTGGCAGCCCTGCACCTGGCTGGGGGTGAGGGGGCACCGCTCTGCGTCAGCAGGGGGCTCGTGGCAGCCCTGCACCCATAAATCCACATGTCGGTGGCTCTCCCCCACACTTACTTCGGTGAGCCCAGCATGGGGCTGTGGCAAAGGCTTCCCCTCTCTCACTGCCTGGCACTGCAGAGTGATACCCAGGGACTGTCCCATCCCTGTGCAACCCAGTGAAACCCCGTCCCCATCACATGTGCCTTGCATGGGGCACCTTCACCAGGGAGAGACCCAGGCTCCTGCCCCTGGAGAGCTGCTCCAGACAGGACAGCAGGGTGATGGGCACGGTGCCCCAAGTCTGGCTGGGTGATGGAGAGCATGGTGCCAGGCTGTGCCTGGGTTTGTGGGAGGATGTGGGTCAGGCCAGGGATGGGATGGGAGCAGGACAGAGTAGAGCTGGGGACACACACATCCACCCTTGTAGCTGAGCCTGGGGAATGGATGGGATTGGAGACGGAAGGGGAGCAGGGCCTGTGCAGTGGGATGCGGGGCTCTAGGTGTGCTAGGCAGTGGGACTCAAGGTCTCCTCTGCAGCTGGAGGACAGCCCCTTCCTGCCCAGCCACGTGGGCAAGAAAGCTATTTGCTTGTGGCAGAAAAAAGACCCTTGGGACCATTCCCATCCTCAGGGGAGGCAGCAGCAGGCTGCTCCTGCAGCCTGGGGGGCCTGCCAGGATCTAAGCCATTGGGCACCTTCTTCTCTCCAAGCTGGGCACATGTGGCACCATGCAACTGCCACAGCTTCCTTTGCTCGCTGGCAGGGTCCACAGCATGGGGACCAGCTGGCAGTGGGGCCATTCTCCCCTATGCCAGTGCTGGGGGCTGTTCCTGGCTCCCTGGGGAGTGGGGGCAGCCCTGTCCAGGGGGATGGCATGGCCACATGGAGCAGTATCCCCTACTTTGGTGGCTGGGTGCCCCAGCCATCCCTCCAGGCTGTGAGAGTGGGACAGGCTGCTCTCGCTCCCAGCTGGAGCGCTGGCATGTGGGTTCGTACCCACAGCCCGGGGACACACAGCTCACTGCTGGGCTTTTCCCCTCTGGAGGAGACTGTCTGGCCTGTGGCAAGGGCTGGCTGTCCTGAGTGCCGCCTTGCTCGTCACCTGTGCTACAGCCAGGTCAGAGCCAGCTCCAAAATCTCCGCAGCCTTGCCAGCAGTGCTGGCAGACACCGTCCTCCGCAGTCCAGGTTAATTGAGCCTCTCCTAGTCTCCCGTTCCTCCCAGCATCTCCTTCCTGTGACCACATCCCTGTGCAGTTACCTTCCCCGGCCAGCCTGGGAGGAGCTCACCCCGCAGAGCCCCTGGGAGGAACAATGCCAGCAGGGTGGGGAAACTGAGGCACACAGGAGTCACCTGGCAGAGTATCCCAATGTTCTCCCCATTGCCTTCCCCAGCTCTGGAGGACCAGCCGGACAAGGGATGAGCTTCCCAGCCAGGCAACTGCCTGCTTCCTCTGGCCCTGTGAAGGGAGCAGTGATTGGCATCGTGACTTGCCAGGAGCTTGGGTGCTGGCTGCCCCTTGGGGCAGGGCAAGCTGGGGCTGAGCCCAGCTTCGTCAGCACCCCGCAGCCCTCCTGCTGCCTCCTGGGTCCCTCCCATGGGATGGGCTCCCACAGCCCTGCTCCTGCTCAGCCCTGGCTCCCAGCTTGCTGGGGTATGGTCCTGTCCCAAGGATTCCGCAGAGGGTGAGCTGCAGCCGGGAGGGTCTGTGCATGGGGATGCCAGAGCTGTGGCAGTGCCCAAGGGTCTCAGGGCTGGTGAGGTGGCACAGGCTGGGGTGGGTGACAAGTGGTGGATAGAGAGTGTGCAAGGGCGGTGCGGATGCTTGGGCACTGTGGAGCGGGGCCTTGGGGTCCCTGCTGGCTGGCGAAGCCATCTCCTCCTGGAGCTGATGGGCTGCAGGTCTCTCCCAGGTGCCCAGGATGCTGGCACTGTGCCTGCTGTCCCTGGCCTGGCTCAGCGAGGGCTCCCAGCGCAGCGAGCCCATGTTTGCAGCCGTCACCCACCGCCTCCTCCCGCCCGACTATGACAGCAACCCCACGCAGCTCAACTATGGTGTGGCCGTCACCGACCTGGATGCCGATGGTGACTTCGAGATCGTGGTGGCGGGGTAAGTGGTGCACCCAGCGCCTCAGTGACAGCGGGACCTGGTGGCCCTGCAGGGCCAGGAGCTCCTCGCTCCTCCATGGGCATGTGGCCGGCTGGGGGGTTGTGCACAAGGGTGGTGGGGTGGGGGTCTGCATGCACCCACTCGTGTGTGTGTGCGCACCCACATAGGGTGTTGATGCCAGCTGGGCACTTGCGCAGGACCATGTGCGTGCCCCCATCCTGGCCCCAGGGCCAGGTCCCCCCTCTACAGGGCGGTGGCAGCTGCCCAGCAGCCAGGGTCCACCCTGCAGTGCAGAGCCAGCATGTCCCCAAGCCAGCTCGGCTCCACTGACAGGACTCAGCGCTCTCTGGAGATTCAGTTAATTGGCTGGAGGTTTTTTATAGCCCTTTATTGGAGTGATGGCTTGGAAGGGCTGGCAGGAGCTGGGGAGGCAGAGCGCCATGTGCTGCGCTGCCAGTGCCTGAGCAGGGCTGGACACGGAGCAGCTGCTGCCAGGGGGTCCATCCCTGGCCAGGGACAGCGGGGCCACGGTGCGGGCTCTGTGTGTGTGTGCTGGCATGGCTGTGAGCTGCTGGTGCAGTGTGTCTGTGTACAAACCACCATGCTCACCCCCGAGGGAGGCTTGCACACACAGGTGTGCTCACCTGGAGGGAGCCCCTCACCCGCACGGATCCCATCTGGCGGGGCTGCAGGAGCTGGGGGCACCACGGTGGCAGGCAGGGTCTGGCCCTGCCACTGCTCTGAGCATCACCCTGGGGCAGCAAGCCACAGGCAGCACCGGGGACCCCAGAGGGGCCCAGGCCACCACTCCCAGACGGACTGAGCCAAGCAGCCAGCTGGGGTTTTGTAAGCAGCCATGTTGCCCGTTGTATAACTTGTTTACTGGCACACCGGGCAGGAGCGGGCGGGGAGCTGGTGGGGTGCACCGTGCTGAGAGGATTTGCCTTGCATGCTGGTTTCTCTGCCCTGGGAAAGGGCTGCAAGCAAGGACCTGTGCCCCATCCTGCTCCACTGGCTGCCCGGACCCCGCCCCTGCCCTGGCATTGCCCTGGGGTACCTAGGCCAGGTAGACATGGGATGCCTGATACAGGCTGGAACAGGTCCAGGCTGAGCCCTCCCCTTTGGCAGCTGGGAGCCAGCCCCATGTTTGGGTGCTGAGGGCAGCCCAGGGTCCCTGGCCTCCACGGACCATACAGGTCTCTGTTCTGCCCATCATGGGGAAAACGCGGTGTCACACCTGGTGTCCCCCCAGGGGTGGGACGGGGGCTTTCATCCTGTCCCCAAGCCACGGGGGGCCATCGCCCCTGCTCACACCTGCAGGTACAATGGCCCCAACCTTGTGCTCAAGTACGACAAGGCACAGGGGCGGCTGGTGAACGTGGCGGAGGATGAGCGGGGCTCCCCGTACTACGCGCTGCGGGACCGGCAGGGCAACGCCATCGGCGTGACAGCCTGCGACATCGACGGGGACGGCCGTGAGGAGATCTACTTCCTTAACACCAACAACGCCTTCTCCGGTGAGCCCTGCTGGTGGCTGAACCCCAGGCACGGGGGGGAGCTCCCAGCATGGCTGCCTGCAACCTTCGGCGTGTGAGGGATGTGTGCGGACACCAACAATCTCCGGTGAGCCCTGCTGGGCTGGAGTAATTTCTCAGTTGAGTGGCTCCATTGATTGATGGCAGCGCGGGCGGGACAATGAGCCCAGCCAACTGCCGAGTCCGCACTTC